CAGAGGAGAAATATGGAAATGACTAGTGACTAGAATATGTTCAGTCAACCATATATGTGTAGATGTGTATCTAAACTTGTCTATATAAGACTGGCTGGCAAGCTACGGCTTGGCTCCACTAAGCTTGACTGGGTGCTGACTGCCCTTAACTAGTGTTTAGTCGAGTTTGGCTCCCTTTCTCGTGCTTTTACTTTCGAGTGTCTCAAGCCATCTGTGTGTGTGCTTGCCTGCGTTTCTACTCGTTTACTTAGTTGTTCGTTCCAAAGTGTTTAGCTGAGAAGCCAATGGGTATGTTCACACAGAGTTTGCCAGCAGTTCAGTTTGTCAGGCCTGTTGACTAGATAGCCAACACGTTTTGGTCGGTTTGAATCAGTCAGCTTTGTGGCTGAACACATACAACTGACGACTGATTGACTACTGATTGAGTTGGGCATCATCTCTTTGTGTGTTCTTGTTTCATTCATAACCTCATCTCTTTCTTCTTCTTTTAGCTTTCGTTGTTGACGTTGCTGCTAGAACCGAATTGGAGGCTGGCTGGCTACGATGAATCTGTTCATTCAGTTGATTGTTAGTCTTCCAGGTGTCGTTGTTGTTGCATTGTCAGGTCGAATTTGGCCCTGCGATGTTTCCAGATAAGGTTTTCCAAGTTTGGCTCACGCTTCGAAGACCTACTCTTAACCCGCAGACCCGAAATCATCAACTAATGCTTGATACTTTGCGACTTTAATTGCTCGGCTCAGCCAACGTGCTCAAGTGAATTGGGTTGTTAGTCTTGCCAGATCTTCACATCCTAGTTCGTCATTTTCAAGCGCCAAAATGAAACAGAGTACATCTTAATGTACATAAATATCAGTTCAGTAACTGGAACAAGACTATGAAAAAGGAGCTAAGCGTGTTCTTGACCATTGGAAGAAGTGAACCACCTCGTGGATGACAGTTTAAGATGTTCACTAAAGAATTAGTTAGGCTCATGCGAGAAGTTTGGCATATTACTTACTTTCTATGATAGTATTATATATACATTTGTTATAAGATACTTGAATGGGATTGAGCTATCGTATTGTATAATATTGCGGTGATCATTCGTCTTTTAAATGTTGCTTATTTAATAAAGGATCCTTTCGGCGTTTCATTCCTTCAGATATATA